AATATTGTAAATATAATTAAGGAAACTCCTATGAGTGGAGCATTATACACCCAACCCCTCTCTTTTTGTTCATTTGGCTGAAACCAACTCAAAGAAAAGAGAGAGAGGGCTAGCTACAGAGAGAGAGAGGGAAACAATTGAAGTTTTGATTTTGAAGCTTGAGTAATTGAGACCAACTCAAGATTTGACCATAAATTTGGAAGATTGGGCTTCTAGGTAAGCAATTGGCTATGAATTCATGAGTTTAATATTGTAATTTGTGAATTCAAAGTTGAAGGGTGATCAAGAACAAGAATTGTGTTGTATTTGATGAATTTGAAGTCATGGGATGCATGCATGTGTATAATTGCCATGAATTTGTATAGTTAAGCATGAAAGGCATGATCCATGTAGGATTTTGGTTAGAGTTTATGCTTGTGATCACCATTTGCACCATTTGAGTTGGTAATGAAAGTTATATCTCACATGCATGTACAATTCCTAACAGTATGAGCTTTGAATGCATGAAATTGTTATGTTGGAAATAAGTTTGGTGTGAATTGAGACATGCATGTGATTAATTTGTGAAATTGAGCTTCATAATGTAATGAATTTGGTGTTGGATCATGTTAGTATATGTATATGTGAAGGTTGAGTCAAAATCATGTGTTTAGAGTCTTTGAATATCAAATTCGAACTCAAGAACAAGTTCTAAAAAACCCAAAATTTGTGACGTCCGCTCGAACGGGAGAACCGCCGCTCGAGCGGGAAATGCGAGCTCCCAGAACTTTTTGCTGACATAATGTCCACTCGAGCGGGTAAGTTCGCACTCGAACGGGGAGCTATGTAGGATGACCTTCCGCTCGAGCGTCCGAGTTCGCGCTCGAGCATAGAAAAGATGTAACCAATACTTTTGCAGACCTCATGGGTCCGCTCGAGCGGGGAAGTCCAGGCTCGAGCGGGGACCCCTGTTTCTGAAATTTTGAAAATGCGTTCTGTGTTTCAATTTTTGTTCCCTTTCACTTCTAAGTACTCTTAGGCATGCATTAAGCATTGTAATGAGTTAAATGATAAGAATGAAGCGTAAAGAGGAATATGTGAATTAAGAATGGATTGAATTGTTTGTGACCCTTTGTGTTCATGGAATGTGTAGGGTCGAGCTCCAGGCAAATCATCCAGCCGATCACTGTGAGTAATATCTTAACAAAGATATCTGAAATATGCTATTTGTCCAGTTGCTCATCTTCATATAAGTCTGTCAATCTGAATTGTGGATAAATGTTTGCTATGTCGAAAGAATGAAAGTCTGAATGGGCCAAGGGCCAATTTGACATGAAAGTCTGAATGGGCCAAAGGCCAGTTTGACATGAAAGTATGAATGGGCTATAGGCCAGTTTGACATGAAAGTATAAATGGGCCAAAGGCCAGTTTGACAAGAAAGTATAAATGGGCCGAAGGCCATTCTGACATGAATGAGAGAATGGTTAAGCCAAAGGCCAGTTTGACATGAATGAAAAATAAATGGGCCAAAGGCCAATTTGACATGAATAGATTGGGCCCGAGGCCGTCCAATGTGTTTAAAACCGTAGTTACTTGACCTACATATGTATAAATGTATGTATTAGATAGAAATATGAATTGGGCCCAAGAACGTTTGATGTATATTGTTCCAATGTATTTTCTTTATTTGATATTATTCACTGCGCTTTCGCTCACGCTCATTCATGTGTCTGTAGGTGAGCCAAGGGAGGTCCAAACCCAACCTCAGTGAAGTTTATGTAGAACAACCGAGGTTTTGAGGAGTCAACCCTTACGTCTCACGCACAAGACACGTCTTCGCCCTTTTGCTATCTTGTGTTATTTGGTCATGTTGGCGAGGACTTTGGATACATTGTAAATTGTTTTGATTGGCTGACCTAGACTTAAATGATCTTGTCTGTACAGAACTTTATGTTACTGTATTTTCTGATGTGAGTTATTAATATGAATATGTATGGTTTGTTATAATGTGCCATGTAAGCACAGCTCTATGGACAAAGTTTTAAATTTGCTTCCGTTTGGCCCCTTTACGCTGATGAGTTATGTCTAGTTTGGTTTGAGGCCGTAGGTAATCCCTTGATTACTGGCCGGTTATGTCCTTAACCTATAGGGGCGGGTTCGGGTCATGACAAACTGGGCCATTGTACCAGTGTGGAGGCGAAGCTATGGGCCATCTATAGGGGCCTCACAATATTGTTTCAGAAAGGCACCCTGGATGTGGAAATTGAAACTGAGGCCACTCAAGCCGTCAAGCTAATCCAGGATGGGCCAAACCACAACTCCCCTTACAAGGCCATCATAGAAGATACAAAGTTCTTAATGAAAAGATATAACTGTACACTAAGTCACACCCAGAGGAAAGGAAACATGGTTGCTGATAGATTGGCAAACATAGGAGTGGAACAAGATGACCATGTGGTTATTCTAGAGGACCCCCAGAAAATGTAATAGCTTTGGTCATAGATGATATGACTGGAGCTCATTTTGAGAGGGATTAGCCCCTAAATTGCTGTTTGTTTTTTGAGACCCTTTCTTTGCTTCTTTATGCTTTCATCTGAATCCAAAAATAAAAAAAAAAACACAGAGCATAACCAAAGGTATCATGCCTTCCTTTGAGTTTAGTCCCGTGGAGATCATAGGTTCAATTCTCCTTACGGAAATTAAATTAAAAGAGTGCAAGTACTTTGGTGTTTTGCTAAGTGTGAGGAGATTTTCTTCTATGGGTGCTAATCTAACAACTTATTAACATTTGCCAAAAAAAAAAAAAAAAACAAGATATAAGAAGCAGTTATCTCTCATTAAAGCCATATGTAGGAATAGATTTTCTATTCACACACTCCTGAACACCCAAAATAACTCATAATATATACTAAGATCCTCATTCAATAAGATTTGAGCCATACAATAAGATTAGAGCCATATGTAACCAGGCCCACCCCTGAGATTTACGTGGCCTAAAGTCGATAATCAATTAATAAATTTTTGGGGTCTTTCATATTTTTTTTTCATTAAAAAAAAATAAAGGTAAAAGATAAAAGATTTGTGTCAAAATCACAAAAAATACTTGATATTGCATTACAACAACTAATAAGTGTCGCTTGATTTTCGCTCTTCTTGCATTTTAGAAGCGAATAAATCAATCATACTTGCATAATCTAGTTTTTTTGCAAAATCATTTTCAATGGATAACAATACTAATTATTTTAAATGGAACTTTCAATTTTTTAATAGGTCAATTTATTTTAAGTTAGCTTAGGCCTTCCTTAATTTTTTTTAAATTTAAAACATACTTAATATATTACACTAAACTACAATAGGAGGGGACTCCTTTTTTAGGTCTATTTTCAATAGATAACAATGTTAATTTTTTTGAATAAGTCTTTCAATTTTTTAATGGGTCAATTTATTTTAAGTCAGTTTGGGTCTTCTTTAATTTTTTTTAGCCTTAAAACATAACTAATATATTACACTAAACTATAATAGAATGGATCCTTTTTATGGGTTTATTTTGATAGACCCTAAGCCATGATCTGGTGAGTCTATGTCCAGGGTCGGCCCTGTATGTAACATTCGATTTTTCTATTCACATAATCCTGAACGCCTAAAATAACTCATAATATATACTAAGATCCTCATACAATAAGAAGTGAGTCAAACCTAGTGTCTTAACCGGACCGAGCAAGTCACGAACGGGTTTTATAATCCAGGTATAAAACACAAATTAAGGTCTATTTTGGTAACACGATTAAAAATTATTTTTTAAAATTTTTTTAAATCACAGCACTTCTCTATTTTTTTATATTTTTTAAAAAAAATTAAAGAATAAATTTTTACTTCTCAAAATAAATCTAAATGGAATGCGAGACATTCCCCCACAATCAACTGGATAAAAATATTTGATTCCGCCTTTGCAGATAGGCGTGGTCCACACTCATGTGCGTGTAGCTGAAGCGGGATGTCTATCATTATCTATTTGAATTGAGAGTTTTTTCCACCGCAGAATATAAACGTGTGTCCTATTGTCTGGTTCCTTTCTTCCTGACTTGGTCCCCATATTTACCATGACTGCCCTGCCTGAAGCCTAAGTGGTTGTTTTTGGGTTGGTTGGCAACCGTTGTCTAGATCTATTTGAATTGAATTGGTTGAGGAAAAATAAAGAAAAATAAAAATTTAAAAAGAAAAGGCAATAACATAAACATTTTGTTTGGGGAACTAAAATTATGTTTGAATTTTAAATTTATGAAAGAAAAATAGAAGAGAAAGAAAATGTATTATTATGTAGAAGTTAATTTTTGTTCGAATAAGTTAAAATTTTCACATTTATAGTTTGACCTGAATTTTAATTTTTGTTCGAATAGTTTGATCTGAATTTTACTTTAATATTTATTCCTTTAATGTAAAAAATATATATATATGATCTTAACTTCAAATTTTAATTCATCCTTCCATTTATAATAAGTATATTTCAAGACTCACATTAAAAGTAGTATATTTTGAGAAAATTAATAAAAATTCAAACGGAAGGACAAATTAAAATTTGAAATTCATATCATATTTTTTAAAATTAAAAGAATAAAAGATCAAAATAAAATTCAAATCAAACTTTATATGTGAAATTTTTAATTTATACGAACAAAAATTAACTTCTACATAATAATATAAATTTTAAAATCAAATTAATACTAAACTTAAAAATTAGGATTAATATGTTGTTCAAATTTAGATTAAAATAAAAATTAAATCTAACGACCAAACATCATTCTCACCCTGGTCCATTGTTTCCCAAGCAGGCCTCTCCAATTTTTATACCAGAACTTCAGGAACTTTGACCATCTTGAAGGTTTTGAAGCAATTGAAAAGAGTAATCATCACATTTGGCATTCAAGGTTATGCATGCTTGAAAAGGCAACTTCAGTGATGGTACTTCCAACAATGGAAGGCTATGAGCAATAGGATTTCAACAGAAAAAGCACTGAACAAAATGGATATAAATTGTTGAACAATTCATAATCTCACTGGTTAACAAATAAATCATTAATACAATGCTGCTGCTCTGCAGCTGACCCCCTTACACACAGCTATTTTCTTGAATGAAAATATATTTAGTACAGCTCTTTCATACTTGTTTTAAATCCAACTATGACAATAATAATACTTCATTCATAAACAGCATCATCTCATATGATCAAGACAGACTCGAAAAATAAAAACACAAAAAAAAAAAAACAAGAAAATGAAACACAATAACAAGCAAACAATAGGCAAACTCCTACGTTAGAGAGCAGCGGCAAAGAACAGACAGATTATTAATTGATCCCTTGCAAAGTAATTGAATTTGCAGAAACTTAATCCTGGGGCTTATCCCATTTAAGGGGCTTCACCACCTCCCATGTGAAGTCAGCGTCATCTCTTCCAAAGTGCCCGTATGCAGCAGTCTTCAAAAACCTTCCATTGCCACCCCTCTTGAGATCCAAGTTGATGGATATCATTCCAGGCCTGAAGTCAAAATTCTCCTTCACGATCTTGAGAATCTCCTTGTCTGGGATCTTTCCTGTGCCATATGTGTCAACAAACACTGACAATGGCTCGGGCACACCAATGGCATACGAGACCTGCACAATGCACCGGCGAGCAAGCCCACTGGCAACAATGCTCTTGGCAGCCTGCCTAACAATGTAAGCCCCACTTCGGTCTACCTTGGTGGGGTCCTTACCGGAGAAGGCACCACCACCATGGGCTCCCCAACCACCATAGGTATCGATGATGATTTTTCGACCAGTGAGACCAGCATCACCATGTGGCCCACCAATGACGAATCGGCCAGAAGGGTTGAGGTGGAAGATGGTCTTCTCATCAAGGTACTTCTCGGGGATGACAGGCTTAATGACATGCTCCTTGAGGTCAGCAGCAATCTCATCGTTAGTAACAGTCTCGTCATGCTGAGTGGAGATAAGAACGGTATGGACTCGAATTGGAACCATGGCACCTTTGTCATTGTAATACTCAACAGTGACTTGGGTTTTGCCATCAGGTCTCAACCAGGGGCAAGTTCCATTCTTTCGCACTTCAGTGAGGCGGGCACCAAGTTTGGTTGCAAGGACATGGCTGAGGGGCATCAGCTCGGAAGTTTCATCTGTGGCATAGCCAAACATGTGACCCTGGTCACCAGCACCAATCTCCTCGGGGCGCTTAGTGAGATGACCGTGGACACCCTGGGCAATATCAGGGCTCTGTTGCTCGATGTTGACTAGAACCTTGCAATTATCAGCATCAAGACCAACATCATCGGAAACAAATCCAATGGTGCGGCATGTGTCACGCACAATCTTCTCATAGTCTACCGCGGCTTTGGTTGTGATTTCACCGAAGACCATGACCATGTTAGTCTTGGTGCAAGTCTCACAGGCAACTTTGCTGTCTTGATCTTGTTCAAGGCAGGCATCGAGAACTGCATCAGATATCTGATCACAGAGCTTGTCTGGGTGACCCTCATTCACAGATTCGGAAGTGAATAGGAAAGTTTCCATTCTCTCAAACTGCAAAACGCAAAACACCCACAATGTAAATCAATATATGAATGACCTAGCACCAAACTTATTATATATAAGGAAGAAAAAAAAGCATTAAGTACAAATGCATCACACAAGTTCAAAGACTGGAATATAGAATTAGGTTCATGTTCGCAATGAAAGAATAATATGTTCTAGATAGATACTACATACACCCATGAAAAACGTTGATGAGTATCTTGCGAAAACAATGTTTAAGCCACCTCCCAAAAACAAATAATCCCATAAATAAACTATAATATGAAAAAGGCAGCTTGATGCAGATACTGTCAGACAGCTGTCAGGTATAAAGTTATTATGCACCGCCAGACAGATTGCATAAAGCATTGTGGAATATATATAATACATATATATATATACAAACCTAGCATCAATTAACTTTAGATATATTGCTGCAAATAATTTTATCCCTTTATTGTAACATGTGGTCCAGGGGAATTTTCCTTTTGAACTACAGAAATGGGCCTGGTGACAAACTATCTAAATGAGATCTTGTAATAGAAGGAAATGCAGATACTCCAAAAACAAAGTGGTCGTTCTAGCATGGCGCACATAACGAATAAAATACAGATCTAATCTATAGAACATAAAAGGATGTTCCAAAATCATAACATAACGTAGATATATACAAATTCGCATGTATACACGTGGTTTTGTGTGGGAGTGAGGAAGGCAATTTTATGACCAAATTATGAAAACCCAAATGCAAATCCAGTTTGTGTATTCATATACAGGGTGTGCAAGTATGCAAGTCTATATTGTTGTAAATTTATTTATTTTATTTTTTTTATTGGTAATGGGTTGTCCAGATCAAAACCCGACTATTCCCAAAGGTGCACAAGTTTCCCCCAAGTACACCATGATTAATTCAAAAGTTATTTCCCAATCCAATGGCCCAAATAAATTGTTAGAACCTAAGAGGTTTCCATCCTGAACCTTAGAGGAAGCACACCCCCAAGATCAAGGCCTTGCCACCACCATGGGGTTATTTTGTCGTAAATTTAAATTACTTTGCAATCCTAGCAACTGAAAGAAAACTTGCCAATCTAAAGGCAGATCTGTCATTTCAATACAACAGAAGTGGAAAAAAATCCGAAAAATTGTGTCCCAAACATTATGTGTAGTGAAGATTCAAGCTTAGTGCGGAGTAGGCCCGTGCCCACAAATTATCTTCAGGGTAATTTTGGTATATAATCTTTTTGAGTGTTTAATATTGCTAGAAAAATATCCATACTATGTATATATTATATAATAAAAAAAAAGTTTTGCGTGGACTGACTTCTTATTTTTTCTCAAAACAAAAGCTCTAAACTATTTTAATTCTCTTATGGATCCAACTACTTCAAATAACTACCATAGTTGTCAGATCCAATTCTTTCAAATAACTGATAGTCTAAATTTCACACATGAACATGCCCACCTCTAGTGTGTGTGTGTGTGTGTGTGTAAGCCTTTTGGCTAAAATAACTAACAAAATCTATTCTTAACAGTTTAACTCAAGGCAAAAATGAAATGATTATGAAAGCCCTTGTCTAGCCTCCCACAACCAACCCGCATTAACACTTGAACATCTCAAATGATAAATCAAAATTGACTAAAACTTAGATCCACCGACACAAGTGCTCAAACCGGTTAGCTAAGACTAGACAGTCAAACATTAGATCCAGCAAAGTGTATGAGAATAGTTCATATCTTACATACAGATCCAGTATAAAAACCCCAACAAAAACTACTCTGAGTTAAGAAACTTTTGTAAGAACAATCAGATCTGAAAGCAAATCTTGAAAACATTCACTGAGTACAAAGAAACAACCAGCATCAACAGATCTGAGTCATTGGAGCACGAAATCCAACAAGAAACCGCAAAATCAGTGAGTAAATACATTGTAAGGGTACAGAAAATTTACCTGAAGATGATAAAACAAGGATGCGAAGAGATATCCACCCAAAAAAAAAGGATGCGAAGAGAGACAGAGAGAGAGAAGAGAGACCCCTTAGCTGCTTCCTAGGGCTTTTTGCGAGTCTTACCCATGGACTTCGGGTTCGTATTTATAGACTTGTTTGAGAGAGAGAGAGAGAGAGAGAGAGAGAGGGATTTGAATTGGTAGTTTGATTTTTTTTTATTATTATTAAATTACCCTGACCTTCGTAATAAAATTTTAAGTAAATTACAAATTGTTTAAAATATAAATAATTTTATATAATTTTAAAAATGGGTAACTTATATTTACATTTTTGATATTTAGATTTAATACATATTATCATTTGACATTTGAAAAATCATATTAACCCTCCTGTCATTGTAATTATATATACAGAATAAAAATATTGAACTCATACACTCTCTCTTTTCTTACTTTGTTTTACTTCCTCTTTTTTTTTTATTGTAATTTCTTCTATTTTCTATAAGGAGTTATTGCCTTTTAACCACAGAGGTAAAAATGTAATTTCTAAAATATCAGGAAGTGGAATATAATTTGATCAAACCTCAGGGTTGTCAATGCAATTTATCCTTTAAAAATTATAATCCACTCCTTTAAATTTCTAATCGTATAACAAATGACTCATTTTATTAATAAATTATGAATTTAATTAACAATTTTTAATGATATTATAAATATATTTTTATTAATAATTTAGATAATTTTATTGTTATATAGAGAAATAGTTAAGAATTTTATTTTTTCTATCAATTCTGTTAAATAAAGAATTTTGATGAATGAAAATTTATAATTTCTAGAAACACAAAAGGTAATTTGTATTTTAAACAAATTTTAAATAGTGTATTTGTAATTTATTTTGAAGTTTTATAAAAATATAGTATGTCACATAATTTTAATATAATTACATTTATTACTCTAATAAGGTCAACAATGCTATATCTCCTAAATTATCACCCCTAAATGATTCCTTAATGATGTGGCATTAAGGTTAGATTTCACATGATGGAATTTTTAAGAATAATGCTATATACATTAGTGTACTAACTAGTGTACAAACTGATAATGTGGCTTAATTATTAGTGTACTAACTAGTGTACAAACTGATAATGTGGCATAATTTAAGAAGTTTTTGGTATTTTTAATATAATTAATGAGTGAGGTCAATAATAATGTCATAACTAATATCGGTACATTAGTTAGTACACTAATTGGTGCATGTAACACCACTGAATGTTTAATAAATCAAAATTTGACACTTGTCAGACACATTTTTAGAGGTGATTAATGAATGTTTCAAGCATTTTTCTTAAAAATAATGTAAATGCTGTGAAAATATAATAAAAAAATAAGAATAAATATTCAATGTAAAAGAAATAATATCATCACATTTTTATTCATATCATTCATGAATTAGTGTTGTTTGAAAATTAAATTTTTCAATTTATTTTAAAGTTATTTCTGATTAATAAAAAGTAGAAGATGTATCAAATAATCTAGTACATATTCTTATAATTAAAAAATTATAAATAGTTCAAATAAGTTAAACCAAGTAACTTTATTAATTAAAAAAGTTTTAAAATAAAAGAAAAGAAAAAGAAGAAAGGGGTTAAGTGATATATAAATCAAAATCGTATGAGAATTTAATATAATTATATTAAGATTATGGGTTTACTGGAGGAGGTCATTGTAATTTATTTATTTATTTTAAGGCTAAGTTTGGCATGTGCTTAAAAGGTTAAAAAGTTATTCAAAAATTTAAAAAGTTATCATTATTTACCAAAAGTCAAAAAGTACGACTGTACAACTCTCGATCCTAATTTTTCCTACACACTAATTTATATCATTTTTTAATACACATTTTTTTATAAAAAAATCAAAAAGTTAATTCAAACAGTCATATTTTTTTCCTCAACTTTTTAGTCTAAAAAATTAAAAAGTACATTTATTTAGAATATCTCAAACAACTCTTAAATTTAATAATTGATTGGTGGGGTCCAGAGAGTTGTACGATGGTTGGAGTAGTTGTGTGACGATGCGAATTCTGAGCCGTGGGATGATGATAAATCGAACGGCTAAAAATGTTTGGAGTGGGTGAGCGAGAGTGACAGATCCACTGAAAACTATCCAATGTTATTTTTTAGTTTGATTAATTATTATTATTTAGTTAGTATTATATAATTATTTGCCTTTTAATTTCTTTATTACGTCACCGTCGACGAGTCCTCGTTCACCAACCCCACCCAACCCGGAACGCAAATGGGCTTGACTTTAAAGTCAGCTCCTCGGCTTGGCTCTTCTGAGCCATCTCCCCAGTTTCTCCTCTTCAATTTTTTTAAATTTTTTTTTCCAAAAAATTATCCCTGATCATTGATTACTAATGTAATAAGTTGAAGGTTTTAAATTTTATTCTCTCTTTAATAAAGTTTTGCTGTTTCAATTTGTATAAGTATTGTAACTAATTGAAAAAACTAAGGTAAATTATATGAGTGATGCTGGAGACCCCCAGTGACTAGTCACTCCAGCACCTCCAATGTCACATGGCACACTGCCAGTGACTGAAGTCCAAAAAAAAAAAAGAAAATTGTTTTCCAACCAATCAGTAAGGACCCCTAGCACCCTCACTGGGGGTCCAATGCATTTTCCAAATTATATTTACCTCTTTTGAGATTTAGGAAAAATTATAATAAATTCGATAATTTTAACATAATTATACTAATTTTCTTTATAATAAAAGTAAAGAAATGCAAATAATATGAAGATACGAAGATAAATATTTTTTATTTGTATGACTAACGAAATTCTGATGAAAAAGATACTGAATATTATGTAAATTAAAATCTGAATAGAATTCAATGTAATTATATAAAAATTTATGAAATTTACTAGATTTTTTCCTAAATATAGAGAAGGTTGATATAATTTAGGTCTCGTTTAGCAAGTGACTTTTTTAGTTAAAAAGTCAAAAAGGCAACAACATATACCAAAAAGTCAAAAAAAAAAATTCCTCTCTACTTTTTACACATCTTTTCGTAAAAAATTAAAAAATCATCACAAACATGCTAGTTTTTTTATATCATATTTTAGCCAAAAAATTAAAAAAATTACTAAAAAAAAATGTTCCCAAACGAGGCCTTACTCAAAAAAATATTATAACTTTTAATTTTTTGTCATCCTCTTTTATATTAAGCCTGTTTGGTAGAGCTTATAAGCTGCTTATTTCAGCTTTTAGCTTAATTTAAGCTAAAATATTGTGTTTGGTACAGTTTAAGTTAACCAGCTTAGAACTTAAATTAAGCTATTTCTCAGCTTATCTCAAAAACTGGTCAGGGAGTGCTTAAATTTTTTACTTAAGCGCACAGCTGGTGTGGGGGGTAAAATTACTTAAAAGCGCTCGTCAATATCCAAATAATATTAATTAATGTTAATATTAATTAAAAAAAATAAAAAATTGTATATTTTTGAAGAAAAAAAAAATCAATATTAATTGAAAAATAAATATTAATTGGTATTAATTATTAATAAATTCATATTGTATATTTTTATATTAATTAAAAAATAAAAAATTGTATATTTTTGAAGAAAAAGAAAAAAATCAATATTAATTGGTATTAATTAATAATAAATTAATATTGTATACTTTTGTAATGAATTAATTATTAATTGATACTAATTAATAACAATTGTTGATTATTAATATTAATTGGTACAAATCAACTATTTTGCTACTGTTTTCCCATTCACCCCTCACCAAAGGACCTTTCCATTATTGCTAATTTTTATATCTAAGTATAAAATCCCTTGGATATTCAAATGGCATTATGGCATTGTTGATAACATAATTATCCGTCAACACTCTGTTAAATGGTGGGATAAGTTCACAGTGCCTCGCATTGTGGAAATTGTCCAAACTGAATTCCCATCTGATCAACTTGCTCCTACTCCTGCAATGGTCAAAGCCCAGCAGAACCCAACTGCTACAATCAGTCACGGAAGCCCAAGTCTTCCTCCAGTCAATCTTGGAAGCCCCTCATCTAGTGGCTCCAAGCCCAAATCAAAGGTTCAACAAGCAAGGCCCATTGCTAAATCTAAGTCCAAAGCTGTTGCCGCTCAGCCAGCCCAATCACATCACAAATCAAAGTCCAAGGCTAAGGCTAAGGCTAAGGCTAAGCCCATTTCACCTCCTTCTCAGCCAAAAGTAAAATCCAAGATTAAGCCCAAGTCATCAGTCGAGCACGATAGGGACGGAGCTCGGCTATTGTTACACTTGGGCATGAAGTGCAGCCTGGATGTCGGCAGCCGTGATGCTGTACCCCGGTTGCCTAGCTCCCAGCAAAGTAGGTTGGCAGTTGGGTTAGGTAATGTACAGCAAGATTTGTGCTGACGGATGAGATAGCAGCACCACCTGTCGAGAGACGAATGGGGGTAGATTTGGGGCGCAGAAGGTATATAAGCGGGTCTGCGCCCCCCATGCCCAGACAGATGACAATTTGGTGAGACATACACTAAACACTCAACACCCTCCTCTCACTCCCTCTCTATCCCTGTGTGTGTGTCTAACTTGATCGTCGGAGGGATTTTCCGGCCACACACCGCCGGGTAGCTCACCGCCGTTGTGCTCGCAGGTCGATCGGACTAGGAGGAGCTTGGAAGAAAGGAGTGCGGGCTTGTCTGAATATTTGCTCCCCGCACAACAACTATAAGTCATAATCTATTAAGTTATAATCTATAATCACTTTTTCACAGCTCTACCAAACGGGGCCATTGACCTGCCTAACCCTAAACTATTTTTTTTATAAGTTTTTTTGGCTATTCAATTTTTGAATTATGCTTGAGATTAATACTCTTAACCCATCCCAATCTGGCTTGACCCGCTAATAAAATATTTTTAAATTGGAAATAATATCTATACATGTAATATTAGGGATTGTTTAGGATGTTCTAAATAAATGCATTTTTTGAATTTTTAGACTAAAAAGTTGAGGGAAAAAATATGGTTGTTTAGGTTAATTTTTTAACTTTTTATGAAAAAATATGTATTAAAAAATTATATAAATTAGTGTGTAGGAAAAAATTAAGATTGAGAATTATACAGTCGTACTTTTTGACTTTTTGTAAATAGTGATA